TTTGAAGAACTCACAAATGTCAGTTTTAACCTCTTCCTGCGTTACAAAAGCTGTTTCTTCCAAATGATTCTGCAAGCTACGAAACAAATGGTAGTCTGAAGGAGCAAGATCGGGAGAATAAGGTGGAGGAGGAATTTTCTCCCAACCAAGTTCTTCGATCTTTTGTGACGTGATTCTTGCTTTGTGGGATCGCGCATTGTCCTGATGAAACATCACCCTTTTTCGATTCACTAGAGCAGGTCTTTTTTCCTCAAAGCATGGCTCAAACGCTCTAATTGCTGACAGTATATTTGAGCATTAATTGTTGCATTAGGTGGTAAGATTAAAAGAAGAACATTTTGAAGTTCCCTTCTCGGCTGTGGCTGGAGTCCTTCCATTTTACCAAGCCACTGTGTACGATGCTTAACATTTCGATAAAAGATCTATTTTTCGCCGCCAGTCACAAGTCTATCCCAAAAAGTTGAAACAAGTTGGCGAGAATGGAGAGAAGAGCAGATGTCAACTCGGGATTTGAGGTTGTTTTCAGACAATTCATGAGGCACCCATTATCCAAGTTTAGGAACTTTTCCAAGTTGTTGAAGATGACGATGAATAGTTGTATGGTTTGAACTGAGAACCACTGCCAATTCCTCAACTGATAAAGCAGGATTTTCTTCAAGGGCTGCTTCAAGAAGCTTTCATCAAACTCAACTGGACGTCCGGTTTGATCTTCATCTTCAAGGGTGAAATCTCCACCTCTGAATTTTGCAAAACCATCTTCTGCAAGTTCTTTCATTCACATTCCTCCTCCATAAACTGAGTGAATGTTTCTAGCCACTTCGGATGCTGAGTTTCCTTTCTTGAACTCGTAAAGCATTATGTGCCTCAAATGATTCTTGGGTACTTCCATGTTAGCAGGGTTTTAATCAAACAAAATTTAATTTTATTGTTCTCTGAAATAAAATTTGATTTGTTTAAATGCATCTAAACATAAAAATAATGTTCAGCTCCATTAGACTTTATAAAATACTCGTTTCGTTCATTTTAACAAAAAGTTAAAATTCGAACAGAACTTATGGGATGACCTGATACATATCAATAAATACTTCAATACTACATATCAATATTATATATTAACATACGCACCACATATTAAATATAAAAAAAAATCCATAATAATAAAAAATAACTAAATACTTAAAATTAAACATCCATTTGATTGAGAATAAATATAAAAAATTATAATAAAAAATATATAAATATATGAAATACAGCTGATAAAAATATAACTAACTTTGTCTACCTTTCGTCTCTGCATAGAATATTGTCACATATGCTCTGCTGCTCTTGTGATATATTCTTGATGAGCCCCAAAGAAGAATCTGCAATGCTGTTCGTCCAGACCTGGCATCTCGACTTCACTCACTTCCCTATCGCCATAATCCAGCTTCCCTGTGTCTTTTCTATAAATACTTTCATAGTAATTGTTCTAATGAACTTTCCTTGGTGGTAAATTTTGACAAATTTTACATATGAAATCTAGTTCGGACTACATAGAGACATTGAGGTATTATGGTGACTGTAGTAAGAATGCTAAGTTACAATGTGTTGTTTGGTGTAAGGAATACTGTGATATGTTTAGGTCAGAAATTTTGGCTAGCTAAGTTTAAGATAAGGCAGACTGAAGGCCAACATTCCCTATCTGCAATTTTTGCCTTGTACCCAATTTTTGTATTTGCAAAATAAATATTACTTTCCTCTATGATATCTAGTCTTTATGAATTTAAGCTCAGTACTAGATTGGCAGTAAGGTCTCATCATTTTAAACTTGAAAGGGTTAGATGTAACCGTAAGTTCTATGTGAACAGTTCCTTCTCTCGTACTTTCCACTTGTTAAATTCACTTTCATGCTTCTTGCTTTCCAGTAATTCCAATTGTTTTCTTCTGTCTTCTTGACTCTTCTTCTACTGTTCTCTGTCATTAATTGCGTTTTTATCTCAAATACTCAGTAACCCACGCGTCTTAGTGGCTTTATTGCCTTGCTTTGGAAGAAATTATTAAAAAAAAACATTTCCGAATTGTATTGCCTACTCACTTTCCTTCACAAGGTATATGTCAGAGAGTAGCATGAGTTTGAAACACTCACCAAATATACCGAACGCTGGAGTCGTTTCTCAAGGTCAATATTCTCAAGAAGATATCTTCTTGACAAATAGACTCGTCAAGTTTGATCTTAAAAATGGTAAATTCAGTCTTAATCTTTATTTTTTGTCTTCTTAAATCATGTTCTTTTATTGTTGTCTGTCCATAGTAATGTATTTTATTTTCTTATATTCTTTCATACTTAGTAATCCCTTGCGACTTAGGGGCTTTATTACCTTGTATATATGTAGTTTTTTTTTTGTAGAAATCCTTACAGAAAAAATATAGATTTCCCCGTGAACATTATTACACATCTACTCAAGTTATGTGAATTAAAATGCTCCCTGGCTGTTATTTTGTTTTAAATAGTATGCGTAAA